TCTCTAAAATAAAATGAAAATAAAACATTAATAATAAATATAAGAAATAAAAAGAAAAGAAGAAAGAGCAAAAATAAATCATGTAATCTGCCACCTTAGGAAACTAGAAAAAAAAAGATGTATCTGGGATCAGGCACAAGCATGGCCAGAGGGCCCAAGTACGCTGCATGAGGAGGAGATGCCCCATGTAGTCCACCAAGTTGCCCCAGAGCTTCTCCTCAGCTCACACATGTGACCACATGGGTGTAATGGGTCCCCTATGACTAGCTGTTGGAAGAGTAAAAGGCTGAACTTGATTCCAGGATAGGTCAACTTGGTACATAATGGATTATAGAGGTGGACCAGAAAGATAGCAGTGAAAGGGGAAATCTTCCCAGTGGGCAGAATTTTTGGTGGTGTACTTGGTTATTTACTCTGTGTGGAAAGAGAAGTGGCCTCTGATCAGAATATTTGTGGACTCAAGCAGTGGTGAACAACAGGTTGGCTGATTGTTCAGGACCATGGGAAAAAAATATCAAGGATAAAAAGGTCTGGAGAAAAGGCACATAGATGGATTTATGGCAATGGGTAGAAAGTGTAAATATCTTTGTAAGTCATTTTAACATGTATCAGAGATAGTTTATCACAGAAGAGACACCAAGCAACCAAGAAGACAGAAAGACTTGGCCAGTTGACATCAGTCTCTCCCTGTCTTTGGCTACCACAGTGCTGGCACAGTATGTACATGAATGGAATAGTCACTGTGGTAGAGGTCGAGGCTATGCATGGGCCCAAGAGCTTAGGCACCCAGTAACCAAGGATGACACAGCTACTGCTGCTGCCCAGTGCAGAATAGCACTATCTCTCAAGGAGAGGAATGGGTCTCTTTGTGGCAAGTAGTCCAATTGGACCCCTTCTATTTTGGAAAAAAGAGTGATTTCATCTTGATTGGACTTGACACATATTTTGGTCATGAGTTTGCCTTTCCTCCTTGCAGAGCTTCAGCCAACACCTTATCTGAGTATTTATTCTACTGACATAGGATTCCACATAATATTGGACCAAGGGACTCATGTTACAGGAAAGAAGGTGCAGCAGTGGGCATATGGCCACAAAATCTACTAGTCCTATCACATGCAGATTTCAACTTAATGGAGCAATGGAAAAGCCTGTTGAAGATGCCTCTGAAGAACCATCTTGGACATAATAACCAGTGAGAATGTGGTCACCTTCCAGGATGCAGCATATAATCTAAATCCATGACTATTGTACAGTGTGGTGTCTCTTAGGCAGAACACGAGTTCAGCAAACCAAAGTTGGGAGTAGTTCTTACTTTAATTCTCAGTAATGTGCTCTTTAATATGTGTTTCTCATCCCTATAACTTTGGACAATGTGCATTTAAAAGTCTTGACTCCTAGAGGAGGAGTGCTCCCACCAGTGGGCCCAGAAAAAGGACCATGAAATTTCCAACTACAGGCGACCCTCAATCACAGTGGGATCCTCATGCAGAGAAAGCAACAATGAAGGAAAGGAATCACCATCCACAGGTAACTAATCCTGGTCATCAGGAGGAGGTAGAGTTATAGGAATTATATGGTAGGAGTATGGTTGGCACCCAGTAATACACTTGTGTATCTCTTGGTGCTCCTTTACTCAATTCTGAGGGCCAAGGGGTAAGTACAACAGCAATAGCCTGACAAGAATGAAGCTCAGATTTCTCAGGGATGAAAACCTGGGTCATCCTACCAGGTGACTCACCTACATCAGCAAAAGTGCTGAGGGTAAGGGATTCTAGATTGGATAGTGGAGGGAAATGGTAAGTGGCCTTGAGACCAACTGCTATGGCAAAAGCCACAGTTTGTCCCTATACTCTTCCTTTTATAAGTTTCTTTCAGGAATAGAGGTCTATCAGAATCCTGAATTTGTTTCCCTCAGAACTTATGCAAAGACCTCAGTGGTGAAAGGAGTGGACTATAGTGGAAGCTGTGGGGCACTACCCAGACCTCCCCTCTGGCCCTGCACTTCATAGCCGAAGTCTTCATCCTTACAGGTGTTGGAAGTGTCAATAACTAACAGTTTGCAACTGAGTTCTCCCAGTGATTACCCTTGGTTGAAGAGGGCCACCTTGATCAGGTCATATCCCCTTCCTTGGGGAAGTTCATGACCAGTGACTGTCAACCAATGAAAAGTTTCATAGGCCTAACTTCCTTGTCCCAATATGGGACACTTCTTCAGTGTTGTCTTCACTCCAGAGATCCTCGCCAGATCTGCTGAAGCCTTTCTTGTGATTGCATTACAGCTCAACTTCTCCCTCCTCCCAGTTCTGCTTTCTTCCCCGCTCCACCCATGTGATCTGGAGAACATACTTCTTACACACAAACCTCAGACTCAGAGTCTTCTTCCCATGGAAACCAACCTGCAATGATCTTAAGAGTTATACCTATCCCTTCCCATAACTTCACAAAATTAACTAAGTTGCCTTTAAAATTCTCTTTGTTGTCCTCTGCTCATTTGGATCCTTCACTTTCTTGATATTAATACAACTTTGATACTGTCATATTTTCATCCTTGGTCCTATGCTCTGCTTCTTACCTGTCCCATTTATCATAGAAATCAAGGCCTTATCCATGAGGTTCCTACAGTCACATGAGTTTCTTCTGTGTGTTTCCTGCTACTTTATTAGGACCACTTGAAATAACCCAGTGAAAGTTACTTTAGTTCTTCCCAAACTTTGCAGCTGTGTTTCCTCATCTGCAAAAATAAAATGTGTCTATAAATTCTCTTTGAATTTTTTGTGTTCTACTTTTGTAAAGATTAGCATACATGTCTGACCCGGCCAGACATGTGGGATTAATTTCTCTTAAAATTCAAATGTCTAGTGGGAAAAAGGGGAAAAAAATTGGGAACATTATAATAGAATAAATAAATGAATGAATGAATGAATAAATATTCAAATATCTAGACCCGCTCTAGTCATTTCCCCTCCTCCTTTTACCTGCAATCCCCCAGAGTATGAGCCCACTGAGAAGCAAGACTAATAATAGCGCACTGAGAGTTTCTTAGCTGTGAGTGGGATTCAGAAATATTCTGGAGCCCCCTTTCCCTGTGTGGGATGGTTGAACCCTCAAGGGAACTCTTTTAGGTACTTGACTGCAGCCTCCATGGCTGACTCCTTGGTGTCTGAGCAGCCTGACTGCAGGGCTTCCACCCAGGTTCCTGATTTTCACGTCAACCTCTGATGGGCCAGGTGCCAGTCCATTCCAGCCCAGCTGGCTAAGGCTTTGACCCTTCCTCCTAGTTTCTGCCAACTTTCTTTATTTCTAGTATTTCTACTTTGATCCATATGTATATTTTTGGGCCAAAACTGGCCAACAAGATGCCAGAAACTATTGCCCAGAATGACACACTCTTCTTGCTCTCACATCAGCCCTTTACACCGATGCTGCCCCAAGTTGCACCTGAATTCTCTACAACTGCACCTGAGTTCACACTAAGACCTTGAACCTGAACTGTTAGCATTTGCACTGTGGGTGAGTTCCCTGCCCAGTGCCAGCCACCTTGGCCAAATCCTTTCTCATGGTGAACCCATCACTTCAGTTAGTATTCCTGCCTTGACAAATTAATCCCTGTTAATGAGAATTAAGACTAGAGTAGTAGTTACCCTGATTAAATCCACCACCTTTTGAAGGGTAAAATTGCTGGCCAAGCAAGTGACAAATTTTCCAGAATTTCAGCATTTTTCTTAATGTGACTTTACAGATTTAATTTAGGTTTAGATGTGACTAAAATATCTTGCATATTTAAAAGTTTTGTTGTGCACCATCTCAATATATATATATATATATATATTTATATGTATATATATAAACTTCCCATAATTATATTATTTAAATTTTCCATAATTTCAGATTTATAGATATTCAGAAGGGTAGGTATCTCTTTTCAAAGCAAGAAGGGCTTGATTATTACAGAAAACAAATAATATTAATACACTAGCATAGACAATTACTTATATGCCAGACACTCTGACATCAACTATATACTAGAGGGGGGAGAACACCAAGTATCAAGAACCAAGGTGTCCTAAGAATTAGCAGGTAGATAATGACTTGTAATGAAGCATTATTCAAAAAACTACAGTTATGTTTTAGTAGTCTAATAACTAAAACACTTGTTGACCTTTCCAAGGACAAATAAACAGCATAGAAGATATATTTTTTAGAATTTTCTACACTAAGATCACACATTTGTAAATATTTACTCAACATCATTAGTTAGCTTAATCTCTTAAACAGATTATACCTCACCTGGCACAATATTAAATTTCACCTTTATTCTGTAGCCCCACATATATATTCTGGCCCTGAATAATCCATAGTAGATGAGTTCCACACAAATGAAGAATCATTTGCATGTGATGATGTTACAGAATAGTTTATAAGTGCACAATTTAGCAACACACGAAAGCAAGCCTATACTTTAGAACAGTATCTTTCCTGAGCTCAGTAAGTGGCTGTGCTGCTTTCCTTCAAATCAAGATTCAGTTAAATGAGAAGCAATAGCTAGGACACCAGCTGGCTGATTTCCCCTTACCATGCTGGAACAATGACTTGAATTTAAGGAATAATATATGAAGCAAGATAATTTAAGACCACCAAAGAAGTAACAAGGGAACCAGGGCACTGTCTGTCCCAAGAAGCCACGCTGGGTTTAGTTTAATGGATTTCCACCAATTCAAGGCAAAACATGGGCAGACTGAACTTCAGGGCCTCTTTTAAAAAAAATTCAACCTAGGTACTCTGAGTCTGCTCTTGAGAATTAAAAACCAAAACGCATGTTAAAACCATCTTTATAATTCTATACTTGAGCCACAGATTTGGAAATAGAAGCATCTAGACAAATTGAGGGGTAAGAGGAGGGATAGAACTATCCTCTAACTCAAGGTTTCACGACGCAGAAGTAGGGAACCCACCAAGTCACTCAAGTTCTCCACACACGCTTGCGGGAGAAACCGTTAACTTTAATAGAGGTCGGTCTTTTTCATGATGCGAAGAAACTCTTCCTCGTTCACTTCGCCGTCCCCATCCCGATCTGCTTCGTCGATCATTTCCTGTAGTTCCTCATCAGTGAGGTTTTCCCCCAACTCGCTGGCTACACGCTTTAGGTTTTTAAAAGAGATCTTCCCAGTTTCATCGTCATCAAAAAGCCTGAAAGCCTTTAGAATTTCTTCTTTGGTGTCTTTCTCGGCCATCTTTTGAGTCATCACTGCCAAGAAGTCATTGAAGCTGATTTTCCCCGTGCCTTCCTTGTCCACCTCGGAGATCATCTTCTTCATCTCTTCCTTCCTGGGTTCAAAGCCCAACGCTCTCATGGCCACCTTCAGCTCCTTCACGTCAATGGTGCCACTTCCGTCGGCATCGAAGAGGTCGAATGCTTCGCGAACTTCTTGCTTCTGATCTTCAGTGAGTTCAGGCTTAGGACCCACTTTTCTTTTCTGGCTGCTAGAGCCTACACTTTGCTTCTTAAAGCTGGAAGCCATTCTCCTGCAGTGGCCGTTACCTTTTTAACGGTGCCACCGCAATCCCTGTGCTCGCGCCAGGGCGCGTGGGCGCCGGGCCTCCCCTCATTCATTCTCAAAACCTTTCCTCACGCTGTTCCAGTGAGGCCCAGCTCACCAAGCCTGTCATAGCTGCAAGGTCGTATGTCGTTATAATCCACAGCTCCCTTAGTGGTTACCCAGTTTCTATGAGCTGAGAGCTGCTCCGCAATAGCTGCCTGAAGCCACAGTTTTCTTCTATAATGCATTGGCACTTGCTAGTCTTTCCAGGCCATTTGTCAGAACCTGTAGAACCAGGTTTACAGGGTTATTTAGAAGTTCTTCCTCTCTCCTTTTTTATACTGATTTTTCAAAAAAAAAAAACAACCCTCTTAGTCTGAGGTTACTTAGGGTAAATTTAGGATAATCAAGATCGGGTTTGATCCCATGGCATTAAGTGCAGAAGAGAAGGAAGGGAGAATACTAAAAGTCACACCATGTGTTCAAATTGACATAAGTGGAAAACAGATAAAATGGAAAAAGTTATGCATAAAATTTGCAGAAGTTTGTCTCCTGACATTACACTCAACAATAATAAAACTTTGCCAGTTTATTTGGCATACACTGAAATATGAAATATAATACCTAAATGTATGATTTACTTTCAGTGTTTCAATTTTATATACTCAGTATAATTGCACTCAAATAACAGTCATAATTTCATTCACTAGGCTTTTCATTTGGAGAGCAGGGTTGGAATAGTGCATTCTGGTATTCTGGCATTTAAAAACAACTCTAGCAGCATATTCATCTCACTGTTTATCATCCAATCATGCTGTGCTGAAATCCACACTCTGATTGCCCTGCTTTGGCAGTGGACACGGGCAGATGATGACAGAGCATGTTGGGATTCAAAATTGCCTTCTGAGAATGGAGAGGTGAGGGAAAAATAGAAATTTTGGGGGTGAAAAAAGAGAAAAAAGTAAACCCATAAAGAAATTGCCTTGAGAATTGCTTTATATTTCTTTAACTTTTTAAAACAGTTTTGAAAAACCTTTTTTATTGTTATTCCCCTCCCCACAAAAATCAATTTTTCACTACTCAATTTGTTACAAGAGAGGGCATTTTTAGGGATATTTATGGAGGAGCTTTTGTATCCCCAGCATCTAGAACAGTGCTTGATGTATAGTAGGCAAATTAATAAATGATTTTGAATAAATGAATGACAGTGTTGGTCTTAAAATACTTCTGAATTGTCAGAATAAAACAAACAAATACCTCAACAGTTTTAATTGTGCTAAGAATATTCTACAAATTCTGTTTTTTTTTTAATTAGTGATCAGGTTTTATTTGACATATTTAATTAGCCAGATCTCACCACCTGCCCTAGTCCATATGTGACATAATGGACAGAGGGCCCTGGGCACAGGGTCTTCTAAAGGTCAAGGAAACTTACTTGGGAACCACCCACCCCAAGCTGTTGTCACGGAGAGTGTCAATGCAGAGTGGACTTGGGCAAGTAGACATTCCAGTTGCTAATCTTTCAACAAAACAAATCCTCCTGCTTTCTTCACCAGGTGGAAACCTGAGAACTTATCCCAAATTCATCTCTTATTATCTCTGCCTGTGAGAAAGTCAGTTAACCTCCCAGACTCAGTTTAAGCACCTGCAAATTAGACATAATAATACAGCTTCCTAATACAACTCCTGTGCATGTTCAAGGGGCTACTCCAGGGACAGTTCCCTAGTCGAGTCACAAAGGACTTGGAAATTGTTGGTTGAAGCTGAATTCCTCCCAGACATTGTTCACTTCTTTTGACACCCACTCCTCTGCCCAAATTCAAGCCAAGCTATGCTGTGTTGGGAAAAATGAAGGAGAGAGGCTGCCTTATCCAGAGCTACATTTGGGCCAAGCTGAGCTCACAGCACAATGGTTGTCATAGTTTCCAGATGTGTGCAATCAACAGTCACAACTAAGGGCCACCAAGAACTTCCATTATAGAAAACAGTGCCTTCAGTCAGAGTCAGCTCTTGTTGAGGAGATACTTTATGTTCAATAATCTGTAGTCTGATTTTAAAAAGAAGGGAAATTTATGTTGATTATGTGCCTAAGATTGAATTTTCTCCTCTCATCTGCTGTCCTTTTTAATCCTTGACATTATTTCCCATTTTGCAGATTAAAAAAAAAAAAAGAGGTCCAGGAAAGGTCTGTAACATATCCAGCAGTACACAGCCGACAATAAATGGTGGCTCTGGGATTTAAACCTTGGCCTGTCTGAGTCCAATGCTGAGGCTTTGTTTACAACATGTTGCCTTCTCCAAAATTCGATACTATTACTAAAATGTAATATGGGAAGATACGATGCTGATTTTCTTCCCTAATAACAATAATTAAATACCTTGTCTAGAAATGTTTAACAAGATTTTGTAGTATCTTACACAGGGTCCCATTCTGGGGCAATTCACCAAGAGAAAGAACAATATACTTGGTATTTACATTCATTCTTTAATTTTGCTTCATTTCATTCCCTGCTTTCAGCTCCAAATATAAGTTTAATGGGAAGAAATCTGGGCTAAGTGCTTTTAATTAGCTTTAGTGAGAGTCTATGTAGTGCTTGTGAAAATCAGTTTCATTGCTTTACTGTCACTTTTCAAGTTATAGTAAAACTGACATAAAGCAAATGAGATGTCCTGGAATATCAATGGATACAAAGAATTTTGTTTTGTTTTTGCACTTAAAATTCTTTGTACAAAAATGTCCTAGGTAATATACTAAATTGGTTGTTGATTATCTGAGAGAGGGGAAAAGAGGTGGTTGTTTAAATCTGGTCATGGAAGCTTAACAGCTGGAAGGGGGAGAAAGAGGTGCTAGAATTTCACAACAGAGTCTGGGGTCAGCTGAGACCAAGAGAAAGGACCCATGCAGCTTGCTTATTCTAATTATTTGGTTTTCCATTTGAATTGCATAGCATGAAAAAGGTGAGCCTCGGGAGCCTTTTAAAATTTAAGTTACACTCAGCAAATTCAGCACATTCCAAGTACCACCCAAGGCAGAAAACATGCATAATAAAGTTTCTTTATTTCTGCCTATTTACTTTCCAACACATGCAGAACAGAAAAAATACAAATGCTTGACACTGCTACTAAGCAGGACAACTGTGCTGAGGTGGTGGAGGAGTGACCCCTGAACCAACAACAACAAACTAAACTATTTATTCTTGAATATGAGGAGCCATTTACAAGAAATGGACAGAGCAGCAAAAATTTTACAATCCCTGTGGCCTTTGAATGAGATTTTGAAGTTCAGTGCAGTGACTCAGCCCAGGACGTTTTGGCAAGCTTGGGGACAGACTTGAGTGTCCAGCCAAGGGCTACATAATTTCTCATTCCATGAATCCCAGAAATAAAGAAATACTCCTCTCAGATATAAAAGCAAACTGTTTTAGAAAATAATTTACCAGAATCTCATACTGTTTCTCAAACTTTCACCCAAATACTCCTAATAAGGAAGGGGATTTAAAGCACCCCCTGGAGACCCAGAGAAACATTTGGAAAAAGCCTATACTGGCAAGAAATGTCTTTATTATCCTGTATTTTATCTTTAAAAAATGACTTGCTCTGCTCCATAGCACACTTGCTAGTTTTATTCTGGTTTTGAATGGCTGACCATCGAGCAAATTTGATTCCCTCCCAAAAAATGTATTGTGCTTATGTTGTGACTTTAAGTGTACCCTGAGGACATGACCAGGGGTTAACAGAACCTTATATGCTTTAGCAAACTGATATGTGGGATCTAATGTGGAGCATGAGGTGAAAAAAACAAAGATCAACCATATTCTATTCCCACCTAATCAAGTTCCTCTCCATATATGCATCATTTGAATTTGGGAGTCAAAGAAGAGGGAGGTAGGAAGTGTGAGGAGCAGATAAAGGAAGACAAATGAATCTCCAGAGCACTTTGAACTGGAGAGGTGAAGAAATGCATCCCACAAAAGAATGACTGTTCACCTTTCCCAAAGCCCAATCAACCCAATTTAAATATTGCTTAGATGGAAAAAAGCTGAGAAAAGACACAGTCTATGTTGATAAAGACTCAATGCATAAGCTCACAGGATTTATGATCTAGCAGTTCACCACCCTGTAAGAAATCTGCAGAGCCCACCAAGTGCAGCCATGCAGCAGAGAATGCAGAATCAAGAGGCTTGAGAGTGGCTTATGTAGATTTTTAAAATATCTCAGAGACTAAGCTATTGGTTTACTTTTTGATCCATCTTTTTTCATTCTCCAAGAGACTTAGCATCTGAAGCTGATTCCTCTGTTAACTGAGAAAAATGCCCTGCTCACCAAAAGTGGAAATATAATCCAGTAAACCAGGGCATGTGGACGTGGCACCTTGATGCATGGACCAACAATCAATGTTGAGGGAAACAGGTTTTTATTTACAGGATTCCAACCTTGGGGGGCCTGAGAGCATCCCAGTTCAGAGCTCTGTTCTTTCATGAGACCCAGAACTTCCCTTGCTCCCCACCAGGCTAAAAACCAAAAACATGTCCAGTAGTTCCCCATATCCTTATCTGTTCTTCAGCCAGCTGTGCAAACAGTTCTCTATCTCCTCTGGAATGTACACTCATGGGTTTCAAAGTCGCTATCCTCTTACAGCAGCTCTCTCCTTCAAGATCTGGGGTACATTGTCCTCAGCCTCCATGTAGTAGTCCATGAAAACATATGCTGTTTTGCACTGAATCATGGTAAAGAACAGGAAGGTACATATCCCAAGAAAGTGGCTTCTCTGTACATCCTTCAGAGAAGCAAAAGTCTACAGTCTCAGCATTCCAGCCACAGTTCAGCATTCTAGGAATTTCCCATGAATCTGTGCTTGGTTAGGCAGGTCCCTGCAATTCTTAGCTCCATCAGCTTTGCCAGCATCAGTTCTTCAGGCAGACTTCCCAGCACGTCTCTTCTTTCTTACTCCAGCTCCTACTCACTACAGGCTGGCATGGCTG